AATGTATCCGTTTTCCAGGGCTCCTAAGATAGGGTAAGGTATCCCTTAATAGAGCTAAAGACTGCTTTTCGGATTAGGTTACTAAAAAGCGCAATGGGTTCGCGGGCAATAAGGATGGAAGCTAATCGTCCACATCCGTAACAAAGCAACAGAACTAGAGAAGGTGGTCCTTGGTACGTAAATATTTTATTTTGGTTGAAGTTCAGAGGGGTATTGGTAACCTTGTTAGTATATCCTTACTATATTATTTTTATTTCCTTACTAATATTATAAAGGCGAAAGTTTGTATGTATGGATGCATGTTTGTTACTCTTTCACGCAAATACTACTGAATGGATATTAATGAAACTTTACAATAACATAACTTATACATCAGAATAAGATATAGGCTATAATTTATATACACATTTTATGTATATCTGTCTTTCTGTCTGAATGTTACGCCTTCAGCCTTTTCTACGCAGACGTAGTCGCGGGCAGCAGCTAGTTAATTATAAATAGAACGTCAATTCGCACATTACGCTTTGTCCCAAACTTGTAAGTTCATAGTACAAAAAGCCTAATTTTACATGAATTCATGGCAAATATTAATGAATGCTATAATGTTTACTAAGTGTATCAGAATAACAAATATGTTTACATCATTCATAACATTATAACTGACTTCTGATATAATTGTTACAATGACACATTAACAATGTAAGTTATCGCTTACAGGACGAGCGGTGAAGTAATTTTAACCTCAATAATGGAATTATTTATGAGGACCTATGGACTTTATTTTCTGTTCATATATTGCTTTTAAATAATTACACGTCTGCGCCAGGAGGGTTATGTTTTTCTAAAGTATGTATGAATGTATAATTGTTTAGCACGCTCTGTAGCCTGAACAGTTTGATGGATTTTAGCTTGAGAGGTGTCGTTATATTCATATTTACTGCGAGAGTGGCATTGGGTATATCAAAAGCCTTTTCAAATTACAGAGAAATGCTGTCGGGTTTAATATTTTTTTTAATTATATCTACTTCTATATTTGATACTTTTTGTCATTTACAGACAGCTTTAAATTCGTCGTACGTTCTGGGCAAAATAAATGATAACTTACACAATATCATCGATGGACTCATTCTCCCACATGAACAAAATAAAGTCATACACGAGTTTTGATCATGTTTGCGGAATAATGGCCAGATGTAATGTTAAAATTAATTTAGCATGTAATCTAACTTTAACACGCCGTTATTGTGTATCTGTAAATTTCATATCCATTTTACGTTTACTATATTAAAAGTAAAGTAAAGTACAAATTATGCATGTCCCACTGCTTGGCAAAGGCCTTCTCTGTACAGAGGGTATCAAGGGCACAGTCCAACACGCGGCCCCATTACGGATTGGCGGACTTCACAAATCTTCGAAATATTTTTTGTCTAATTATTTCGAAAATATATAGATTTCCTCACGCAGAGCACGTAATAATTCAGCACTTAAAATTGTCAATTTTATTGGTTCTGGCACCGGGGATCAAACTCCGGTTGCTCGAGTAAGTATATTAAATTAAAAACGAGCGCCCGGACACTGAACTATTACGGCTCTTACTATATAAAGGTTCTATTTAAAAAGTTAAAAATTAATAAATAATTTTAGCCCCACAATTCAAAACAAAGTTGTTAACTTGGTTTGTTAGCGCAGTTGGAGAAAAATATTGTTATAAATTAAAAAAGCTCAATTTCTGGCGATTATTTCTGATACAGTAAAACATGTCGAAAATGAATATTAGAAATGTCATAACGGATCATTTGGAATATAGGAACTTTTTAATAATAATATTAAAGCGCTGGTCAATATTGAGTAACATATTAATTTGAGTAATATTTGAAAAAAAAAATTAGGTAACCTTCAAAAAGTTTGCCCTGCTAGATGTTCAAGAAAGACGTTTTAAGGACGTTAAAAATGAATAATCAATAATAATGACAATTTTGTAGCAACTAAATTAATTTCTATAAAAAAGGCGAACGTATCGATTGTAAAAATATAATTAATACGCAATTCATTAACTTGTCTTCTTTTTTATAATATTAGAAATCATCAATAGTACAGCTCTCCAGCAAAACGTGATTTAATGATCTTCCTAACTGAATTTTTGGATATTAAAAAAATAGTGTTAGTACTAAGAGATAACGGGTTCGAAGTAGCGCATACCTGTAGGTTAGTTAAATCTGAAAGCTCTTTAATCGCAAACTACATTTTATACTGTAAACAAATTTAAAATCTCGATTGAGGACATATGTAGGTATAGGTAACATAATCCAATATTACTAAAATTGGAAACATCACACTTTTTACCTGTCCGCATCAAGTGGAAATTGGATACCCCACAATTTGTCATACGCTGTATTTCAAACAAGAGTCAGCTGAAATTAGGGTTGCCAACTGCTTTTGAGAAAAATAAAGTATCATATATTTCAAGTAGAGAAAAATAACGAGAAAAAAATATTTTTCAGTCTTATTTATTTATTATTTTGAAAATAATTTGTCGCTGGAAGGGCAAAATTACTTAATCGCCAAATAGATGTTTAAGTAATTTTGGCTTTCCAGTGCCGAATTATATTTTTATACGCTTCTCACAAACTCAGTTTTTCACTATACTAAAATTTTTGGAAGCTATCTTTGCATTCCCAATTTAAATAAAAAAGTAATAATTTTCTAGGGAAAAAATGTTTTTGTTAAATTATAATTAACAGCAAAAGCTTCTTATTTGAAAGCGTTCCCTTTCAACTTAAAAGTATCAATAAAAGTTCAGTAATTATTCATACAGGTACCATGGAAGTGTTTTATTTTATGCATCACAGTAAATCTTGAAAATAAAGTATTTTCATATACTTTATTTTTATACAAAAGGACAAAGTATCTTTACCAAAAATAAAGTAAAATACGTTATTATACAGTATGGTTGACAACCCTAGCCGAGATGTGTTGCGTTCAAATCAAAGGCCAAGTGTAGTACAGATTAGGCTCATTGCTGCAAATTTATTTTATTTTATTCGGTACACAAAACAGCAAACAGTAATATACACATCACAATAAAGTTCAATAAGGTAAACAATTACATACTGTCAGCCAAAACTATGCGTACACAACATGCAAATGCCAAACGAACCACATACTTTTTAACAAATGTACATCCCGGGGGTTTTAGAATAGGGCTCCGTTTTGCCCTTTGGGTACGGACCCAAAGGGCAAAACGGAGCCCTATTCTAAGACTCCGCTAACTGTCTGCGTGTCCGTCCACGTATTTAAGTGGGCATAGAGAAGACGTATTTTTTTCGCCGTCTTTGTAGATAATGGTATATGAACCCTCCGTGCGCGACTCCCATTCACACATTAATCCACACTAGCTATTAGTGTGGATTATTGCTCTTTCAAATCTGATGTAGTTTGAAGTGTTTAGTTAGATAAAATTGTGGCGAAATTTGGCTTCATCGGCGTATATGATATGTAAGCAGTCCGCCTTAGGTTAAGTTATTACCACCACTCACAAACATCCACTACTTCTAAGGGTTAGTAGATGCATTGTCAACCTTTAAAAAAGTTAGCCCTTGTGTACTCACTCCTATTCACCAAACCAACAAACACAATTAATGCTTCCACTACATTCCGGTTTTCTTCTGTGGTACATATGTACGACTGCAATGCGTTCGTAAATTTATTTCGTATATTTATGGAAGAGCTAAATTAGTAAACACGGTACGAGCGTACTTATTGACTTTTTTATGTGAGATGGTGGCCTGGCATTTGCAATACCCGTAATGTTGCAGATGCATTGCCACCTTATAACTAAGTGCGCCCTGGCTACCTCACTCACTCAACACGAAACGCAGAAATGCAAAGTATAACACTTCCACTTCGCTCCGGTCTTCTGTGAGGTTGTGGTTGTGGATGTCCCGGGACGGACCTACCCATTCGTGCAACAGCGAAAACTGGCCCTACCACAGGTGACGTTTTATTACTAAACTTAAAAAAAAACGAAAAACAGTATTTCAAGTTACTATTTTTATTGGAGAGACATTGTTGAAAGATTTTCGTTTAACAAAGCACAATTAACGTAAAAAACTATTTTTTTTATTCAATACAAATTCATAAGAACTTCCTTTTCCTATATCGTAGAGATAATTGGAAAATCCCCATAGAGGAATCTCTTTATGTCAAACACTAAGGTCTATCCCCAAAGGTTGTTTAAAATTAAACAGACACTGTAATGTAAGAAAAAATTCTAATGCGATTAGTGACATTACGGAAAGCATTGGTCATCGTATAAAATTAATTCATATCGGTTGGTATGCTTTATCACAGTTCAAAAATTCTGTCTTTCTCTATATTTACTTGTACATTAGCAAGATTCCCTTAGTGTTGAAAATTTGATACTACTACAACTATTATTGTAGAAAAATATGGATATAACCATTCTTTCAGAAATTCTTATTTGCCTATATTCTAAAACTATACAACTATTCTAGCATTACACTATTTAATAAGATTGATTTTTCTAAAATTTTATAAAAATTACTTTTGAAGTTCGCTCACTGTTAGGTTTCTTTCAATTATGTAAGTAACACTGAAAAGTGACAAAAATCGGGTTCGAAATAAAAACACGACAGATTTATAATTGAACAACTATCTTTCGCTGGACGACCTTAACATCGCAATGACAACATATCAAACTTTATGCGTATAGTGTGGTAGGGCCACAAACTTCCACAACAGAAGACCAACAAGTGGAAGTATTATACTATCGCCTTTCGTCTGCCGAGTGATGTGAGTGGGGCCCGCTTTTTTATCGATTAGCAGCGCATCGAACCTTCAGAAATGTAAATGCAGCCAGTACTTTTTCTTTTATGTGAATGAGTCAAGCGAGCAGGCGGACAATCTGCAACACCGGAGGGATGGCGACACGTCGACCATCTTGCCAACCTTCCCGCGCGAACTACTCGGACCGAAGACTATAAGAGGCCCTCCATCTCCTTCATGAACTGCATGTAGGCGTCGTCCTTGGTGGGCAGCTGCTTGGGCGGGTCGGCCGGCCGGTGCGGGGCGCTCCTCTGGCCCGCCTTGCCCCTCTTGTCCTCCCTCTTCACGCGCAGGGCGGACGGCACGAAGCGGGTCACGTCCGCGGACAGATTCCTGATCTGCGGCTTCGCGCTGATAGTCGCGCCTGCGTCGAAATACATTAATAATGATAAACATAAGCAAACAAACAAACATAATGCGTTATAAACGTAATGCGTGAATAGGAACGCTGAAGAAAGAGTGCAGATGTTTGCATTACATTTTGTGCAAATATTTTTTCGTTGGTGTGCAATGTGGTGTTCGGCCTCTTCTCTAGCGTAGTGGTTAAAACGTATGGGCGCGAATCCGGAAGACGTGGCTCCGATTCTGGTAGCGGCGATAAACTTTTCATCCAACAAATTTTAATTTCTTTTTTTTTTGGAAAAGCAGATAAAGAGCAGTCGACCACACAAGAAATACTAATGCGTTGCCAGCCTTTGAGGAAAGAATAGGCTCTTTTCTTGAAGGCCCCTAAGTCGTATCGGTCTGGAAATACCGCTGGCGACAACTGGTTCCATAACTTGGTTGTACGTGGCGAAAAGTTACGTGAAAGCGAGAAGTGGTAGCGATGGTCTTTGGCAGTTTGACGCGCCGTACGGTGGCCAAATTCAGAAGCAGGTGTTAATTGCAACAACTCATCAGAGCATTCCTCGTGATAGATTGGAAAGAAAACTTAGTCGCCGACAATTCGAGCAGCCCTACGTTGGATGCGGTCAAATAGAAGGAGCCGCCCCAGCCTAGAGATGAGATCAGCTCTCCATGTGTTGCCGAATCGAGCTGTTGCCAATCCGTGTCCCCTTCTAGGCGCCTTCTACCTCAGGCAGGGGATACCTTAACGCTGTTCCATGAGCCCGAGACTAGAGAGCTGTGGGATTGTCGCTCACCCTGCACGCCGTCCTTCTTCTGCACGAGCTGCGGGGCGGCCGTGAGCACGGACACGTGGGGCGGCGGCGGCGGCACCAGCGGCCGCAGCAGGCGGGGCGGCGCCCCGGGCGGCGGGCCCGGCGGCCGTAGGGCTGCGCCGCGCGCCGGCAGCCCCGGCGGCGGCCCGGGCACGCCCAGCGGCGCGCCCATCGCCACCGGCGGCGCCCCGGGCGGAGCGCCCGGCGGCAGCCCCGGCGGCGCCCCGGGCGGCATCGCGCCCCCGGACACCGGCATCCGCAGCGCCGGCGGCCGCAGCCCTGCGCGGGCGAACATTTAACGACTTCAGCTATAGACCTATTACTATATATATAGTGTGATCAACATAGGGTTTTTCCGGTGTTTAAATATGTATTTGTTTACAAAACCAAAGTATGATTAAGTGTGCTTATCAGTTATCTAGTACCCATAGTACAAGCGTTGCTCAGTTTGGGACTAGAGAAAGTTGTGTAAAAATGTGTCCTAAAATATTTATATATTTATTTATAGAGTAAGTAACTCTCTCATAGGGCTGTGTATACGCTTCAACGGGCGGGTGGAAACTGATCATTAATTTCTTTCCAGTGATACCTTAAGTCGAGAACACGTCCCCCTGCCAGGTGGACGGAGACCCGACATAGGCCGCTGGTTGTGACTGGACGGGGAAAGCGGAAGGGGAGGCCTATGTTCAGCAGTGGACAGCATTAGGCTGGTTGAGAGGTACCTGGCGGGAGGAGGGGCGGCGGCATCTGCCTCACTTCGGCGCCAGGGGGTTCGATGCTGAAGTCCGCGTGCATCAAATGGTGACCCTCCGTGTCGCTGTCTGAGTCACTGTCCCGCCCACCGGTCCGCTTCAGCGCGCTCAATCTAAAAACAAATAAACAGTATACACCTCGACAATACAACTTAATGCCTTATTCTCGGTGAAGCTTTAAGTGTATCTTCTGATAAAGTTCTTTTTTTTAAAGATAAAGTAGCACAGCATGTATTCCATAAAGATATCGGAGTCAATAACCCTAATGACTGTTATAGATAATCATATTTTTAAACCTCGCACAATTGTTAAAATATCAAAATTAAATTTTAGTGACTGGGCAACAGTGGGTATATATAAAAGTAGGGATTCACTGTATGAATTATATAATATGAGGCAGTGGAATCACGACCCTAATTTCCATAAACGGGTACAATATAATCCCCGTTTTCAAAAGTGGGGATAAAAATGATCCAGGAAATTACAGACCTATCTCCATATTGCCATCTCTGAGTAAAATTTTTGAAAAACTAATTTTAAATCAACTCTTAGTACATTTTAATATGAACAAAATTTTCCACAATGAGCAATATGGATTCACTAAAGGCAGATCGACAACGGATGCGGGTGTCGCACTTGTCAAGCATATTTATAACGCCTGGGAAAGGTCACAAGATGCAATAGGTGTCTTTTGCGACCTTTCAAAGGCTTTCGACTGACCACTGTGTAGACCACGAAACCCTCCTTCAAAAGCTAGATTATTATGGCATTCGTGACATCGCCCTCAATCTCATTGCCTCTTACCTTAGTAATAGAACTCAAAAAGTATCTATAAATTATGTAAGTTCCGCAGGGTCCCCTATGAAAATGGGTATCCCACAAGGATCAATCTTGGGTCCATTATTATTCTTAAAGTATATACATGATCTCCCCTTTTATGCCAGTGAGTTATGTGATGTTGTACTGTTTGCTGACGACACATCGCTCATTTTTAAGGTTGACCGAAACGTGTCGGATTATGACGACGTGAATAGTGCACTTTCGCGTATCCTCCACTGGTTTACCGTTAATAACATGGTGTTAAATGCTAAAAAAACTAAATGCCTTCTTTTTACCCTTCCCAGCGTAAAAAGGCAAAGTTTTAGCCTAACATTAAATAGCGTAACCCTTAATCCTGTTGAGTCCGCTGTATTCTTGGGAATTACAGTGGATTCAAAGCTCTAATGGGGTCCCCATTTATCATCTCTTGCGAACAGGTTAAGCTCCGTTGTTTTTGCAATTAGGAAGGTTAGGTAGCTATCAGACATCGACACTGCCAGACTTGTTTATTTCAGTTATTTCCACAGCATCTTATCTTACGGCATTTTGTTGTGGGGTAGTGCATCTGATATAAATTCTGTATTTATTCTTCAAAAAAGAGCTGTCCGAGCAATCTATAACATCAGAGCCCGGAATACACTCAGAGACCTTTTTAAAGACATTAATATACTCACTGTTGCGTCTCAATATATTTTTTGTAATATTTTGTATGTTAAACATAATTTTAATAGTTATCTAAAGAATAGTGACAGACATAAACTAAATACTAGAAATAAGGTCAAAATAACTACGCCATTGTTTCGTCTACAAAAAGTAAACAGGTCGTTCATGGGGCAAATGTGCGCATGTATAATAAAATCCCACAGCCGATATTAAGTCTGCCACTTGATGAATTTAAACGAAAAATTAAAAGTAAACTTATGGCTAAAGCCTATTATTCTATTGCCGAATATCTTGACGACGCCAATGTGTGGGGTTAACACCGTTGATACTCACGTAGGCTAAAACAAGACTATTGTGCCTGTACTATTATATTGTAAACTGATTTTTTAAAAAAGAGCAACTGTTGAGTTTCTTACCGGTTTCTACTCAACAGAAACTGCTTTCCGAACCGGTGGTAACTTACGAACGTGTTAATTTCTTGTAAAATTTTGACGTTTCATAAGAACGCGCAAGCGTCTATGTGAATAAAGATATTTTATTATTTATTATTTAGCCCCCCACGTAAAAAGAGTATTATAAGCTTGAAGTGTCTGTCTGTTGCATCTTATCTTCTAAGCGAATGGACCGACTATGGTGGGGTTTTTCGTGTTTGAAAGCTGACCTGAACAAGATGGTTCTCAGCTATAGTTCGAGTTTTTTTTTTTGTGTCGGGGTTATTTAAAATTTACAATAAACATATTATTAAAGTGTTTTTTTTTTCTATCGCCTCTAATTTTTTTGTCCATCTATATCCTGGTCAAGTAGTTACAATAATTTATAATGTAGCATACAATTTGTATGCAGAATATACCTCGCATTTAAATCGGCAGCCCTGTCCCTCTCCCTCTTTCGGTGCACCTCCTCCATCTCTTTCATGAAGTCGTCGATGTTCTGGCCGGACAGTGCCAACATCCTTTGCTGCAGCGAAGTGGGCTTAGGCGTGGGAACTGCCATCGGCGGTGACGACGGCTGCTCCCCATCATCAAGCATCTCACCGTCTAAGTCCTCGAGAGCCGACTGTTTCTGCCCAGGCACTTGGGGTATGTGATTCTGAAAGAAGGACATTTCATACAATACTTGCTGAACCCTGCAAAACTTGCTGTGGCTCCTTTTTATATTATTTGATTGAGACCCATGATAAATTAAAAAAAAAGTACCATAAATTTTACATTTTCATACAAATCATTTGGAATACAACAATAAATCGAATGAGTCATTAGAAATTTAAAATGCTAAAATGCTAATCTCTGCACTTAAGATCAAACATTAAAATTTTTTGAAAAAATTACGAAAATTTTTTCGCTCTTGTTTCTGTGTTGGGAATCGAACCCACGTCTTGGAGATTAGCGCCCTGAAGCTTTTGCCAATAAGCTAACGTCCCATGTGTTTCTAAAAGGTATTTTAGAAACATATGGGGAAACAAATCTATTTACATATTCTCCTGGTGGGCCTTCATCAGGAAAATCGGAGAAACGTAGGCTCTTCTTCTCCTTATGTATTTCTGTTTTCATTGCCTCTGATATTAAGGTTGCATAGTTCGGTGGTGGACCGGGCGGTACTCCTGGAGGTTCCACTCCAACTGGTTTTTCCTGCAAGCATCAAAGCAATTACAACAATTACATTATAAAATCATGAGAGCATTCAATGTAAGACTGCCAGTTTTATGTATATATTTTTTTACTTAGTAACTAATCAAATAATAAGGTGGATGATAAGATATTATACATTCATAACTATATGCAAGCACATCGCTTATAGTCATGAGAGTATGATAAAGTAATTCAAAGGATATTCAAAACAAGTTTTAATACATAAGCTCTCATCTTAAAGTTAATAAAAGTGTGTGTGCTTCGGAATATCTATAAGATATAAAATCTAAAAAGTTAAATAAAAAATATGGAATTTTTATAAACGGGTTTCCACAGATAACATTCCATAACGATTAGTATAACGTCGACCTGCATTGCGATTACAGACACCCAGTGTTACGCATTAATAATCTATGAACTGAAAGCAAAAACATTAATCAAAGTAAATTAATTTTATAATGTAAAGGGTCTTACTCGATAAACAGAGTCTTTCTTCAAAATGGGTTTTGGCAATATGGGATGCATGCTATCCAGGGGCAAAGGAATTTGAGATGGTACATTTCCATATATTAAGTTGTCAGGAACCTGAAATATGACAAACATTGTAAGTATTAAGATTTTTTAAGACACAGTAATAATAACCTGACTAATAAAATTTAATAAAATATAAAAAATTGCTGGAAATAGGAAAATTTGTATGACTTTTTTCTGATGAAGAATTAAAAAAAAAAAAACAGAAAACAAAACATGTATAAAAAAACATGGAATACAGGGAAATTTTTAAAAAAATAAATAATTGTAAAAGTAAACAGAGCATAAGATTTTAACCGACTCACTGCCATTGTGAACACTCACACAACTCCTTTATGAACATAATCTAAATTTCAAAATTGCTTATATGAAAACCATGTCCATACAACTTTTCATAAATAATTATCAGTATCAGTTCAAGTAATAGAATATACATAGCAACAAAGTACTCATAAAAATTTCATAAGTTAATTATTGTTACCTGCAAAGTAGGTAACGGAATGTCATCCACTTGGACAGATTGTGCATGTTTCACAGATTCATAATAAGATATTAAATGTGCTCGCCTCTTTTCATATTCCATTTCCTGACGTTTTAGTTCCACCCATTTCTCCGGGTCATCTTTGTCCTGAAAATTAACAAGACAATGAAACAGCAATAGTTTTTAAATACTTTTTGTTGTGTAAAACAATTGTTTTTTTTAAAAAGTAAGTAACCATTACAATACTTTTTCTTTAATTTTTTCCTTTTTATGCAACAAATTGTGTTGACATATTTATATTTTTTTTAATTCCAAAGTAATATATTTTCTAACTATACATAATCTAAGTTTATTACCAAATATATTCATTAAATGCAAATTAAAAACCTACCTTATGCTCTTTGTATGATGAAAAATGCTACAGAGTTCTCTTAAAAAAAGCACTATGGATGATGTTAGGGGAAACTTACCAGACAAAACCACATCTATGGAAATAATATTTGATTATTTTTTAACTAAGTATAAATTTGATACTCACATACATCTTGAGTACTCTGTCAAATGTTTCTCTTAACTTCTTTCTTTTTTCTTTTAATACTTTTTCATTTAAAGGAGACGGTTGGAGCACATTATATTCTGGAAAATAATAAATAATTAGCTTCATGGTATCTCCATAGTTTGATGCAAACATGTAATAAATATATACAAAAAAATTACCCATTTCATCAATTTTCTGTAATTCTTCAAGAATTTGAGTTGGATCTTTCATTTTGAGAACTGCTGCCCTCACCATTTGTCGTTGTCTTTTATTTTTCTTCAACTCCTTTTTTCGGGCTTCTTTCCCTGATAAAAAAATATTTAAGAGAGATATAAGCAAGAAATATAAATAATATGTGTGAAATAAATATAGAAACAACCTATACTTACTGGCTTGATCAGTGGGATTCATATATTTACCACTCTTGGTGGTATTAATCGAACGTCGCCCCATCCTAAATCCTTTAAATTATTTCGATTAAATTTATATGTAGTAAGACAATTACAGGTTCTAATTGATATATTACATAGGCTCATAACTCCTTCATATTCTCTAATTCTCTGCTTATTTCAACCACACCGCACAGATAATATCATAATAATATTGTCAGACAGACAGAATTTCATACTTCAATGACTGAAATAAAATGACAAATTGACAATGAGACAGATAAAAACAAAAGTAGTATTATAAAGAAATAGCTAATAATTAAACTAAATAAAATATACAACTGAATCGTAATTCTTTGATTTGTTCATCTCACCTCACACTTACTATTGACCACATTGGCAAATAAAATGGATACTCTTTTGAAAAATATTAATTTTATTACTTCTTTTAAAGCTTAAACTATGCTATAATAGCCTATGATTATTTTCGACAACTTTTCAAATTCTGATAAAAGTAAGTTGTTCATTACCTATTATTTAAAAATGAAAATTTATTTTTTATTTTTATTCCTTCGTAATGTTACTGCGACGTTATTGTCGTCGGAGGGTTGCTAGTAGATAATTCTTAATCCATTTTTGGTAAACTAGTTAACACATTAGAAATTAATTATGTTAAAATTTTATATTATGAAGAAAATAATTTGTGTTTATCTTTCTGGAAATTCATTTTTTCTTATGATATGTTATACTTTTACCAAACAAATATTGCACATTTGGTACAAATATTTATTTAATATTGTTTTCATTTAAATCAAAATATAACAGAGTGAGAAAAAATTTTAACTATTCCTTTACTTTCGCAATAACCATCAAACACTAATTACATTTTGTTAACTTTTTTTGTTAATTACTCAATTAGTTAAAGCCGTTTATCTGTGTTCCGTCATAATTATTTTTATTCCAATTGTACATATATTTAATTTAAATTAACTCTGCTATACTTATCCGATCGATTTTTATGTTTTATATATGTATAGTATTTAGGTCTGAGAATCGGTCATAATGTATTTTTCATGCACTTAGGATATAAGCTAAGGATGATCTACCCTATTTTTTTTATTTTTGGAAATATTATAGCTAAAGAAACGGGTCAGCTAGTAATGTTATATAAATTAAAATCCAAACGATTGTACAATAATAGAATATATATTTATTGTACACAAGAAAACACACAAAAGGAAGATGCAGGAAATAGTTTACGTATAGGCGGCCTTATTGCTAAGGTACCGGTGCAGTATTTTCCAGGCAACTTATCCAGGTTATTATTTATAAAAAAACTAAAATCTCAATTTTCACATGCCTTTTAACGTGTCAGATTTATGATAGCTATCTATAAACAATAATATATTGAAACATTATCAAGTTTCAAAACATATTTATTATAGATCAGGTTACTCGTATTAAAGATGAAGCGTTGAGTTAGGTATTGGTAGATGGATATCCAGTCTTAAGAATACATAATAAATGTCTACATAGTACATATTTACACGAGACGGCGACGACCGGCGGCGCTTGTATTACGCCGTATCACGTACTACGCCATACGCACACATAAAAGTTTTACGAGTCAGTCACTATACAATCTGCAGAAATACCTATATCGTACATTTTACTACTCACAGATTTCATTCATGTACCGAAACTAGACCTCTCTTTCTATCTCATTCATCCTAATTGTTTTCGAACGTGTGTGGGTGAAACAGCAAAGATTTCACCTACGTTGGCGCTTGTTGAACCAAATAGTCGCGTCGGTCGAAGTCTCGCTCGCTCCCTCGCGCAGTGGTAGAGATCGCGTTCAAGGCGTGCGTTCGACTTTCGGGCGGCGACGCGACGTACGCTAGTAGCGTGTGTCTTCATTATTGATGCAAAAGTTCCACGATGGTAGATCATAACGAGAAATTGTTACAGGAGTTGCTAAAGAAAAGTGGAAATAATGTTTGTGCCGATTGTGGAAGCGAGGGTATGTTATCGTGCTTTTACTAGTGATTAATCGTGCTTAATAAAACGTGGTATTTCTATGGGGTGGTGAACAGGCGGGGGGGCGTAAGTGCGTCCATGCTCTTGAGTTCAATGACCTCAACGTAAAATGCATTCAATCAAAACAAATAATCGGAATTGAGCTTAATAACATTTCATTTAATTAAACAATCGGACTTTAAGTAAATAAAATTGAATCTAATTGCAGTGTCCCCAGTATCGAAAGGGGTTATTTAAAATCTTTTGTAAATTCGAAGATGTGATTTAAACGAATATATTTTGGTCAATAATCTAATTTATATATTCATTATAAATAATAAAATAACAAAATTCTGCTCCGTAAATAATAATATTAAACTTGTTTGCTCTATCATTTATTTGTCCCCTCGTGAAGAGGACTACGGTGAAAACTGAAGCAAATGAAGATGATTATTTTTTTATAAGAAATGCTGTACATTCAAATAAAATGAAGACCATAGTATAGTTATGCCTACTTTTAAGAGGTTCAGATCAGAGCAATCAATGTCGGTACACCAGATGACTCATAACGTAAGTTCTTCGACTCAGCGTCCTATAGTACTTCCAGGCGTCTGTTCAGTGCAAAAATTATCGAGTGTTCTTTATTTATAGTTTTGCGTTTGTTCTAAATTTAATTTGTAGGCACTAAATATTTGTTTAATGCCAGTTTTATGTCATCAATTATTTGTACGTTTGAATATTACACAAGGATAAAAGTAAAGCTTTTTTGTGTTTGCACATATGCTTTTTATACTAAAAGATATTATACCGAAGCTGTATCTAAGACTTCCTAATAATTAAAAGTTTAATTTAATTGGGTGTTACGAAGGGATTTGAAAGCCATTTTTGCATGTACAGATTGAGATTTTATGCTACACGAAACCGCGCCTATTCATGTTTAATCAATTATAATTCAACAACAATCGATCGGTCTTCGCTGCTAATGTGTTATTAGTCAAATTAATATTCATAGTGTATTTTGTATAAAAGAATTAAATAAAAAATTAAAAATGTATTTCTATTAAGTTTGTTAATTATACAACTTAAAGCTTGCAATAATTATGTGATATCAACTTACAAACACAAATACGAAAAAATGGATATTAACTTTTTCTACTATTTATTTTGTTTTTGAGGACTTAAAGTTTTAACTGAAATTTATACAAGTGAAAGTTCGATGATTGAAAATTAATTACTATTATTTATGCTTATTACCATATACTTTTTTTTTAAATTTATTACTACGCGCATTATTAATTTGAAATTTTAAAGTAAATTTGAAGCAGTGAAACTAAAAATTTATGGTTTTCATTACATTTTTATTATACTAATACTAGCTGCTGCCCGCAACTACGCCTGCGTAGAATAGGCTGAAGGCGTAACATTCAGACAGAAAGACAGATATAATTTATATATATAAATTATGTATATAAATTATAGCCTATGTCTTATTCTGATGTATAAGCTATGTTATTGTAAAGTTTCATTAATATCCATTCAGTAGTATTTGCGTGAAAGAGTAACAAACATGCATCCATACATACAAACTTTCGTCTTTATAATATTAGTAAGGATTGATATTAATTTTGATAAGTAAGGAAGTAAGGATATGAAGATACCTACTTAGTTTTCATTTCAGTGTATAGTGTAGAAAGTAACCAGTTATTATAAGGTTATTAGGGTTATATAGGAGAATTGATTTTGTCTGTTGAAGTTTTTTGTAATATGATAATGAATATAGAACAGAAAATTACTAGAAGCGTATTGTCTTCCAAAATCCGAATTCTTTTTTTGATTTATTTTAAAAATTAACACAGACTAAGCTGAAAAGTAAATGGATATGTTTTGATATGCTAGGAGTCCTACCTTCTTTTATCTATACAGATACTCGGTCCTAAAAGAAGCGTCTGGGCGCGAAACAGGAAGACGCAAGTTCGAATCTTGCAGCGCCAATAGTTTTTGTACATTTATCTACATAAATTCATAATTTTAACTCGGTCTTCTTTTCCTGAGTGATTATTATGAACAACGTGAAAAACGTTTGTACATTCATAGAATTTTGTGAGGAAATAAAGCTCATGAATATTAGGTGGGACCTAGTTGCTGTTTTATATTTAAAAAATATCAACGTGTATTAATGACTTTGTAATATTTTTTTTATTATTCGCTACAGGTTAATGAACCTGTAGTGAATAATAAAAAAAATCACATCGGCAATATCTTTGCACTAGATGCAATTTTACCATAATAGTGTCAAGTTTTAAACGTCCTGTTCAATTCGTGTAAAATGTATATAAAACAAACTAGTGTTCCCCAAGCGGTTGAAAGTCGTCGATAATCATTATTGAATAATTAACGAAAATACAAATTATTTTTTTTGATAACAGTAAAACACCAACAATTAAATTCGGACTAAAAAAAGTTTGTGTGTATTACTGAACCTATTTCGCGAATGAGAACAAAATTTAAATTTCAGACAAACGTAGAATTATGCAAAGTCGATATAACGCGGTTACTAGGAAATTTAATGATCAGTTTATGACAGCTAGAATTATTTTGTATTTTTTTTTATCGTTTCAAGATAATGAGTGTCTCCGCATTATTACGCGTTCGAGGTATATTGAACGTTTTTCAACATGTAATTTTTGAGTAACAGGATCCGTTGTCCGCTCCGTTGCTTCCGAATTTAATTTAACGCCGACGCACGCCACTAGCACTGAAGTCGTTTTAATCGGCCGAGTGAGGTATTAATTGATTCTTTACGACGAGACTTGAATGAATCAATGAAATGACAAGTGAATGAATCTAATGCTAGGTAAAGCTAATTGAAGGTCTGTAAGAGTGACCGTCAGTTACGTCGATCGCCAAATGAGTTGCGATCATACGAAATGACTTGAGTAATTACCAGCTTTTGGTAATTCATTACTGTATTCTTACGAGGCCACCAAAGTCGTTTTCGAACCGTTATATTTTTTTTTGAAACGCCGTGAGCAGCAACACAACAGCTAA